GCTTTAATATCAATGACAATAAATGCTCATTCTGTGAAAGCGATGTAGAAACGATAGACCATGTCTTCTATGAATGCACTCAAACCAAAATATTTTGGAATTACTTAGAAAGGTGGGTCAAATCGAAAATTGCACTTCCTGAATCTATTTGTAGAGATATGGTAACCGTTGGAGTGTTTTTGACAAACAAAGCAATAGAACTCTGTTGTAACCTAATATGTTGTTTGGCAAAACTCTTTATTCATAAACAAAGAGTGCTGAGATCATCCCCAGTTTTTAATTTTTTTTAATCTGAATTCCCGTTATATTTGAACTCTCTGAAATTATTGAATCATATGAATACCTGACTGAAATATTAATGGAAATGCCCACCGATGTATGTTAATCCTAACATATGAATCCCCTTGTTGCTATTTTAGTTTTTTTTTTCTTTATCAATATTACTTTGTATTTCCATTTTGAAATCTGCCTCTACTATGTCCTCTGCAGTTGCACTGTTGTAATTGCCTTACTTGTTTGTGCTAACTTTGTTTAAATAAAGTTAAAAAAAAAATTAAAAAAAAAAGACAGTGGTCCGTCCCGCCTCTTTCTGTTTGCAGCGAGGCGTACTTGTCGAGATCTGCGACTCTACTCGTTTTACCTTCTAAGCAGACATTTTTCCCCAATACGATGATTCCTGTGGTGGATTTTAGCGTCTACAACCTGAGTAAGAAAGATGCTGATGGCAAGGAGCTGCAGAGTCTGAGTGAGGAGCTGAAAACCGCATTTTCTCAAGTTGGGATGGTTTTTCTCAAAAACACTGGGATTTCGCAAGAGGAGGTGAATCCAGCTGAGAACACTCACATACTCTGACTGTATCCTCTAAAGTGAAATATGCATTTCATATGTGGCGTGTCTTTAAAAGGTGGATCGTGTCATGGGGTCGTCCAAGAGGTTTTTCCTGCAGCCAGAAGAGCTGAAGAAGCAAGTCAGCAGGGGTAGCTTCCCAAACAGCTCCAACCACGGCTGGGTGTCGATGGAAACCGAGAGGTAGGTCATCCAGATACGAGATAAGGAAGATACGACAAAAAAAAGACACTAATATGCATTTTTTAAAAATAATAATAATAATTAATAATAATAAACTTTTGATGTGACAGACCAACACAGTGTAGTGCGCAACTATATCCCACGGACTTTCGTTTTAGTACTTCTGCATGTTTTTGCCAAATGGACGAGAAGGACTTTGCTGCAGCAAACAGAAAGGGGGGGGGAACGGACCACTTTCAATTTCGCATCATTGCACTCCGGAAGTGAAGGGGGAGCTATTTACTATATTATGCGTGGCCTCCCGTTTTTATTTTGTTTTGAAATCTGTGATATATTTTCAACTTTAGGAAGGATTTTCACTCTCAGCATGTATTTGAGCTTCTCTCTTTTATTTACTTCAGTGCAGCTCACAGTTTTAACAAATTCTGTAGCTTTCGGTGGACTTCTAAATCTGCTCCTTAGTCACATCTTTTCAAACCTGCTACTGCGTGGAAATTTTCCTTTGACCCTAAAACGATCAATCATATTCATAGAATCACGTTATCAACAATTTGTGAATAGAACAAAACACTTACCACGCTATAGGAAAATGTGATTAATTTATTGGTTAATTATTCTTAACCAATAATTATTGGTCTCTGCTAAAATATTTCTTGCAGTTCTTAAAGATATAGCCAGTGTTTTCAGCAAAGTTGAGCTGACTGTTGTCAAGAAAACCTGAGATCATCCCACTTCCCCATGCTGGAGATTTTAGTTTAATAGTAACAATACATGCAGTTACCTTTAAAATTGATCACACAAGTAACGTAAAGACCCAACAGTAGACTTAAACTTCAATAGAATCAATCTGGTTGTGTGTTGTTTTTGTCTCCTGCAAACTTTGCTTTAATTCTACTTCCTTTTTCTGTCTAATCACAAGAAATCATAGTCAGGCAGAAAGCATCATGAAACAGGAACAGCAGGCTTCCTGGAAGAGGAGGAAGTAAGTTTCCAGCTTGTAGATTTATAAGAATAGTTTCAACTATTCCTTATCCCAAAGCATGAAAATTTTAAAGAATGAAATCTGAACATTTTGAGTAACTGCATAAGACCAAAGTAAAATACTTCTTATTACTCATAAGAATACTTAAACTTAGACTTGTGGAAATACTTACAGGTAAAAAAAAAAACTGTAACTGTGGTATCAAATAATTAGAGAAATGGATTATTCTTGTTTTCTTTTCAGAAGACAGTCTGTAAGAATTCGCATTAAAATTATAATAAGAGTAACTAATAAGTTATGGTTAAAATATTATGAATGAATTCTAAATCAAATAAACTAAAGAGGTTTTAAATGTGATTTTGACATTGAACTTGAAAAAGTGTAAAATGTGTAACTCCAGTGAATTTATCTTTTACGGTTCCAGTAATGCCAGAATTAATAATAAAGACTTTGTGGTATTCTGATTTAGTAATGTAATTAGATTAGTTGTGTTGCCACCCCCACGCCACTAGAGGCAGTAGCAAGCCCGAAAAGATGCGACGAAGGAGATTTAGAAGTACACGGAAAGCTACAGAATTTAAAAACAGCTGCGCTGAAGTAAATAAGAGAGAGAAGTTCAAAGACATGCTGAGAGTGAAAATCCTTCCTAAAGATGAAGATATATCACAGATTTCAAAAGAAAATATTAACGGGAGACCGCAGCTCAGATCTCTGACCAGCTTCTCTGCTTTTCTCTTTATTAATGTCAGTTCTTCAAAGAAACGAGCTGCTAGCTGCGATGCTAATTCACGGTTGTTCATACTACCATTTCTGCTCACAAACTCTCATACAAACACAAGCACACACAGTTGATACTCATTCTCTGCAACACCATACCTCTGAACATGGAAACACCACTAAGAGACGACAGTCCACCTGAACTGAGCTGATTAGGTGAAAAAAAAATATGCATAGGAAGTCCTAAAGTTTTTATTTGGATCTTTTTGGCCTACAAGTGTATTGGAAAACTAATACTGCATATTACTCTGAACACAGGATGGTTTTACAAAGTATTTACTCAGGGCTGGGTACACACCAGTCAATCAAATTTTATTTATATAGACCTATTGAGCCAAAGTACTTAACATTTGTGCAAAAATTAAGCAGTCAGACTAGAATACAGACAGGTAAAAAGAACAGTTTAACAATATTGGTAAAATGCTACTATGTGCTAAAAGTTGTAGCTTAGGTTCAAGAGGTAATGAATTCCAGATTTAGACCAGCTACACAGTTTGAACTTTGACCCAGGGGCCTTCGTCAGTTGTTGGTCAGCAGACTGGGCAACATCACGTAAGTAAGAAGGTGCAACGCTGCAAGCAACTTTAAAAACAAACATCAAGACTTTGAAATCAACTCAAACGTACTAGGAGCAAGTGGAGGGAGTGAAGTACAAGACTGATGTGACTGTCTCTCCTACTGTTAGTCAACAGGTGAGCAGCGGCATGCTGGACACCTGGTTTATTCCAACACAAAGTGCACTACAAGGGTTTAACTTCACCAGAAGTCAGGGATGAAACAGCACAATCGACCTGCTTGTCAAATTTGGTAACGTGGACCACATGGAAAAGTTCAAGACTGATTTTGAATCCAGATGAATTCTTTGACAGGTTAAACCCGAGCCAGCCAGGAGACCTAAAGGAGGCATTTAACCTGACATCATTTCAACCTGACATAGTAATGACTCACTAAGTTTTTGTTCAGCATGCTTCTCTGTAAAATTGCAAGTGCAAACTTTGGGAAACTCAGCACTTTGGGTCACTGCAAAATCTTCCGGTCAGGCTAGTCAGTCGTTGTCTGTTCTACAGAAATGGCCGTCATCAGACGCCGTGGGGGATTTCCGAGAGATCCTCACAGCGTTCTTCCATCGCTGCAAAGACCTGAGTCTGCGGGTGCTGAGGGTGATGGCCCAGAGCCTGAGTCTGGACCCGGACATATTCCTGAGTGCGCATCGATTCATAGGAAGTAGGTTTTTCACACTCTCTCAATGCTTTGGTGGACAATGAGGTCGGTGGGAAAGGTGCACTTCATAGAAAATCATGAAACTTGTTCAACAGGACGTGCGTACGACGGCGTATTAGGGCAGATGTAGGTAGAAAAAAAGAGGGGATTAAATTTCCACCAAAAATTCAAGATTTGTGATTAAGCTCAGAAATTTTCTCGATAAACTTGGACATTTCTGAGATTAAAAAAGCTGGAAAAAAAATCTCAAACATTCAACATTTGGAAATTTCTGAGTTTGAAAAGTTGGAACATTCTTGACCTCTGAAACTAAGAAATGTCCAAGTTTTTCTATAAAATTTCTGAGATTGAAAAGCTGAAAATTTGCTAGAAAAGTCAAAAAAAAAATTTAGATTAATCTCAGAAATTTTTGAGGAAAAAAAAAATCACATTTCTGACATTTGGACATTTTCTAAGTTTCAAGACTCAAATTTTCCACTTTTGAAACTCAGAAATTTAAAAATTCTCTCTGTAAAATTTCTCCAATCAAGCTAAAAATTTCTGAGTTTTTTGTAGCAAATCTTCAACTTTTCAAATTTAGAATTATGTGAATTATTATTGTGTGAATTATCTGAGCTGATATGCATTTAGAGAACTGCTGTGTCTCCTGCAGCTGATAAGAACGGCACAACGCTGCGGACTCTCTACTACCCTTCAGTGAAGAGCGAGACGGCAAAGGAAGGCCAGGTGCGATGTGGGGAACATTCTGACTACGGAAGCATCACTCTGCTTTTCCAGGGCTCTGAGGGTCTGCAGGTAATTCCAGGGATTAATAGTGAAATGTATCCATTTTTACCCCAAAGAAGGTGCAGCTCTTTTCTTGACATCTCCCTTTGATTTAAATTTATTAGATTATAGTAATAATCTAATCAAAGCAACTTATGGAAACTGATTGAGATCATTTATTTTTTATTTTACTAAAGCATTTCATTTGTTTTTGTCATGTTATGCGTCTTATTCCAGGTTTGCACTCGCGCAGGTGAGTTTATCTCGGCTCCCTGTATCCCTGGAACCGTCCTGGTCAACATCGCTGACCTGATGCAGCGCTGGACGAGTGATCAGCTCATCTCTGTGGTAAATTAAAAAGATTTTACATGTTTTCTTCTTCTTCAGAGGCTAAAATCAAAGCAAGGGTGTCTAAAGAGCGGCTCGGGGGTCTAAGTGCGGACTTTGAAATGACTTTGATGATGCTTCTGGGACAAAAATTGAGAATGCCACGAATTTTGTTCAGCAGTCCAGGCGGTCAATGCTGCAAGAACACTTTTAAAAAAGAAAATTGGTGTAAAATTTTCTCTGAGGTTAGGCCTTTTAAAAAACTTGCTGACAAATGAAGGTCTTCCTATAATCAAAAACAAAAGAAATATTCTGTATTAATGTCCTGTCTCGCTTTGAATTAAATCTTACAGTAAATCACAAATATCCAGTTATTTTCATTTAAAAACAGTCTTTGGTGAACCCGTCTATTAAACCTAGCAAAATAAAGGAATCATTTCCTATCAGATCCACTTCCTGTTTTAGTTACTGAGAACATCCAAGAGCATTTTTTCCCCCAAATCTGTAATGATTACTACTACACATCATTTTCTTTTCTTTTATTTTAATTTTGTTAAGAATTTTTCCATTAAGTAAAAATGAAAAGTACATTTTGTGGCCCGTGATTACTTTTAACTTTACGATTCTGAACCATTTGGCAAAAAAACCAGTACATTTCTGAAATAAAGTCTGTATCATTGCTAGATTTAGCTTTAATGCTAGCACATATAGGAGCACAGCTTGCAAATATACACAATAAACCTTAGAGGAAGACTTTTTATTGCTGTGGCAGAAACTCAAACTGAAAAGCGTGATCAAATCTAAGGCTTTTTAGAGCTCTTGTTTCACTCAGTTATATTTTGTACAGTGGGGTACAATGTTTATTGACGTATTTGACATTTTATCAGAGCAACGTAGCTGTGGGAAAATATGCAACGCTTGAAGTTTGGGTCAAAGTAGTTTGTAATATTGCTTTCTGTCTTTTCAGCGTCATCGGGTTTTGCTGCCCCCTGTTGGAAACTCCAGCACTCGCCAGTCTTTGGCTTACTTCGTCCAGCCAGACGACGAGGCCCTGATCACCTGCTGCGACGGCTCAAACAAATATCCTCCCGTCACCGGAGCCGGCTACCTTGAACAGCGTTTCAGTGAGACGTACGGAAGGAAGTGAAGAAAGACGCTCATCTCTCTGCTCAAACCTCTCCATTACATTATGTCACACACATACATGGTTTCTACAGGTTTCAGCAGCTTAGTTAAGACGTTTTGAAATAATTATGAATGGAATTTAAGATGTATATATCTACAGACATGTACAAATTTCATCCAGCCAACTCTCAATAAATTTATACTACATGCGTGTCATGCCATGATATGATGAGAGATGCTAAAAAGCTAGCCAGCTAGCAAGGGCATCTCAGCAGCTCGTTAGCTGCCACGGTAGCTTCAACAGTCTCGAGTCACAGAATGCAACGGAGATGTCAGAGTGCAACTCAAACTTTTGCCTGACAGAAAAGTTTCCCAATGAAAAGAAAAAAGGAATAAAATATCCTTAATATATGAGATACAAGATTAAATAATCCTGCCAAGACAAAATTTAAGACCTGTGATTACGTCACATGACACTTTAGATTCCACAATGGCTTCACAGCTGATTTGGATTGAATTTGATGTAAATGGCTCATTTTCTGTTGTTGTTGGCCAGTGTTGAAAAAAANGCTGCAAGCAACTTTAAAAACAAACATCAAGACTTTGAAATCAACTCAAACGTACTAGGAGCAAGTGGAGGGAGTGAAGTACAAGACTGATGTGACTGTCTCTCCTACTGTTAGTCAACAGGTGAGCAGCGGCATGCTGGACACCTGGTTTATTCCAACACAAAGTGCACTACAAGGGTTTAACTTCACCAGAAGTCAGGGATGAAACAGCACAATCGACCTGCTTGTCAAATTTGGTAACGTGGACCACATGGAAAAGTTCAAGACTGATTTTTAATCCAGATGAATTCTTTTACAGGTTGAATCCGAGCCAGCCAGGAGACCTAAAGGAGGCATTTAACCTGACATCATTTCAACCTGACATAGTAATGACTCACTAAGTTTTTGTTCAGCATGCTTCTCTGTAAAATTGCAAGTGCAAACTTTGGGAAACTCAGCACTTTGGGTCACTGCAAAATCTTCCGGTCAGGCTAGTCAGTCGTTGTCTGTTCTACAGAAATGGCCGTCATCAGACGCCGTGGGGGATTTCCGAGAGATCCTCACAGCGTTCTTCCATCGCTGCAAAGACCTGAGTCTGCGGGTGCTGAGGGTGATGGCCCAGAGCCTGAGTCTGGACCCGGACATATTCCTGAGTGCGCATCGATTCATAGGAAGTAGGTTTTTCACACTCTCTCAATGCTTTGGTGGACAATGAGGTCGGTGGGAAAGGTGCACTTCATAGAAAATCATGAAACTTGTTCAACAGGACGTGCGTACGACGGCGTATTAGGGCAGATGTAGGTAGAAAAAAAGAGGGGATTAAATTTCCACCAAAAAGTCAAGATTTGTGATTAAGCTCAGAAATTTTCTCGATAAACTTGGACATTTCTGAGATTAAAAAAGCTGGAAAAAAAATCTCAAACATTCAACATTTGGAAATTTCTGAGTTTGAAAAGTTGGAACATTCTTGACCTCTGAAACTAAGAAATGTCCAAGTTTTTCTATAAAATTTCTGAGATTGAAAAGCTGAAAATTTGCTAGAAAAGTCAAAAAAAAAATTTAGATTAATCTCAGAAATTTTTGAGGAAAAAAAAAAATCACATTTCTGACATTTGGACATTTTCTAAGTTTCAAGACTCAAATTTTCCACTTTTGAAACTCAGAAATTTAAAAATTCTCTCTGTAAAATTTCTCCAATCAAGCTAAAAATTTCTGAGTTTTTTGTAGCAAATCTTCAACTTTTCAAATTTAGAATTATGTGAATTATTATTGTGTGAATTATCTGAGCTGATATGCATTTAGAGAACTGCTGTGTCTCCTGCAGCTGATAAGAACGGCACAACGCTGCGGACTCTCTACTACCCTTCAGTGAAGAGCGAGACGGCAAAGGAAGGCCAGGTGCGATGTGGGGAACATTCTGACTACGGAAGCATCACTCTGCTTTTCCAGGGCTCTGAGGGTCTGCAGGTAATTCCAGGGATTAATAGTGAAATGTATCCATTTTTACCCCAAAGAAGGTGCAGCTCTTTTCTTGACATCTCCCTTTGATTTAAATTTATTAGATTATAGTAATAATCTAATCAAAGCAACTTATGGAAACTGATTGAGATCATTTATTTTTTATTTTACTAAAGCATTTCATTTGTTTTTGTCATGTTATGCGTCTTATTCCAGGTTTGCACTCGCGCAGGTGAGTTTATCTCGGCTCCCTGTATCCCTGGAACCGTCCTGGTCAACATCGCTGACCTGATGCAGCGCTGGACGAGTGATCAGCTCATCTCTGTGGTAAATTAAAAAGATTTTACATGTTTTCTTCTTCTTCAGAGGCTAAAATCAAAGCAAGGGTGTCTAAAGAGCGGCTCGGGGGTCTAAGTGCGGACTTTGAAATGACTTTGATGATGCTCCTGGGTCAAAAATTGAGAATGCCACGAATTTTGTTCAGCAGTCCAGGCGGTCAATGCTGCAAGAACACTTTTAAAAAAGAAAATTGGTGTAAAATTTTCTCTGAGGTTAGGCCTTTTAAAAAACTTGCTGACAAATGAAGGTCTTCCTATAATCAAAAACAAAAGAAATATTCTGTATTAATGTCCTGTCTCGCTTTGAATTAAATCTTACAGTAAATCACAAATATCCAGTTATTTTCATTTAAAAACAGTCTTTGGTGAACCCGTCTATTAAACCTAGCAAAATAAAGGAATCATTTCCTATCAGATCCACTTCCTGTTTTAGTTACTGAGAACATCCAAGAGCATTTTTTTCCCCCAAATCTGTAATGATTACTACTACACATCATTTTCTTTTCTTTTATTTTAATTTTGTTAAGAATTTTTCCATTAAGTAAAAATGAAAAGTACATTTTGTGGCCCGTGATTACTTTTAACTTTACGATTCTGAACCATTTGGCAAAAAAACCTGTACATTTCTGAAATAAAGTCTGTATCATTGCTAGATTTAGCTTTAATGCTAGCACATATAGGAGCACAGCTTGCAAATATACACAATAAACCTTAGAGGAAGACTTTTTATTGCTGTGGCAGAAACTCAAACTGAAAAGCGTGATCAAATCTAAGGCTTTTTAGAGCTCTTGTTTCACTCAGTTATATTTTGTACAGTGGGGTACAATGTTTATTGACGTATTTGACATTTTATCAGAGCAACGTAGCTGTGGGAAAATATGCAACGCTTGAAGTTTGGGTCAAAGTAGTTTGTAATATTGCTTTCTGTCTTTTCAGCGTCATCGGGTTTTGCTGCCCCCTGTTGGAAACTCCAGCACTCGCCAGTCTTTGGCTTACTTCGTCCAGCCAGACGACGAGGCCCTGATCACCTGCTGCGACGGCTCAAACAAATATCCTCCCGTCACCGGAGCCGGCTACCTTGAACAGCGTTTCAGTGAGACGTACGGAAGGAAGTGAAGAAAGACGCTCATCTCTCTGCTCAAACCTCTCCATTACATTATGTCACACACATACATGGTTTCTACAGGTTTCAGCAGCTTAGTTAAGACGTTTTGAAATAATTATGAATGGAATTTAAGATGTATATATCTACAGACATGTACAAATTTCATCCAGCCAACTCTCAATAAATTTATACTACATGCGTGTCATGCCATGATATGATGAGAGATGCTAAAAAGCTAGCCAGCTAGCAAGGGCATCTCAGCAGCTCGTTAGCTGCCACGGTAGCTTCAACAGTCTCGAGTCACAGAATGCAACGGAGATGTCAGAGTGCAACTCAAACTTTTGCCTGACAGAAAAGTTTCCCAATGAAAAGAAAAAAGGAATAAAATATCCTTAATATATGAGATACAAGATTAAATAATCCTGCCAAGACAAAATTTAAGACCTGTGATTACGTCACATGACACTTTAGATTCCACAATGGCTTCACAGCTGATTTGGATTGAATTTGATGTAAATGGCTCATTTTCTGTTGTTGTTGGCCAGTGTTGAAAAAAATTTGTTTAATTATGCTGGTTTTAATGATGTTTAAGTTTAGCGCATTTTGAAACGCTAGACTCTTCCTGATTGTTTTGAAGTTGATGTAAAAATAATGTTTGTTTTAACCACAAAATGACCACTCATATACATATCCCCAAGTATATGAGAGCAGCTCATCGATGTAGCAGCTACGTGGCCTGACGTAAAAACATTTTACTAGACAATGTCAAAAACTGAGAAGTTTTAATTATTGTTGTCAAACAGCAAATAAGTTCATAGTGAAATTGTATGTTTTTGATATAATGACAGAAATTTTTACTAAAAAAAGTGTAACAGATGTTTTTGTATTGAAACTGCTCATGTCACACACAGTGTGGCAGTTAATACGGAGGAACGTCTTTGTATTTTTGTATTTTTCTGTGGTAATTAATTTCTTTGTGGATTTGGTTTCTGATGATTATGTTGAGCTGTTGATGTGATTTTATGCATTTGATTTTTTTAATAAATTCTGGTTGATTGTGAAGTTGAACAGTGACCGTTTGTCTTTATGGTTTCACTTTTACACACGACATTAACTGACCTGGGGAGACAAGTTAACAACGAGCAACAGGTAGAAAATATTTCGTTTTCTCAACATTGTGTGCAACAGATAAGGAGCGCAAATCGTGGCAGAACAGGGTGGAGCAGTTCAGAGTGTTCTAGCAGCAGAAGTTAAAGGTGAAACATCTCGTACTAACGAGAAAACACAACTCCTTAAGTGATTAGCAGCCAGGAGTTGAGTGTTTTATGCAGGACAGGATTTGAAAGGTGTAGTTTGTGTGTATGGGAATAGTTGGTGGGGTTTACAATGTCTTAGGATGCGAGGATGAGAGATAAAAGTATGAAGTCCTCACTCAGACACGACCTCCTCCTGCGGACTTATTGCTGTTCGTGTTTGTGGGCGAGTTGTGTCTCTGTTTGGCCAAATGCATTGATTTAATAAATATCTTGTGATTTTATATTTTGGTTTGTGTCTCATTTTTGTGTCTTGCCTGAAATATCCTAGACCCGGTTAGAGAGACTGTTTTCTGAAGCGATGGTTGATTTTGTCTCACAACATTTTCTACAGGTTTCACTTAATCAGTTAAGACGTTTTAAAATAATTCTGAATGGCATTTAATATATATATATAAATTTATACTACTTACCCATGCCATATTATGAGACACGCTAAAAAGCTAGTCAGTGGTTGCCTCAACAGTCTCGAGTCACAGAATATGATATAGATGTCAGAGTGTGACTCAAACTTTTGCCTGACAGAAAAGTTTCCCAATAAAAACAAAAAGCATGGAATAAAATATACTTAATATATGAGATACAAGATTAAATAATCCTGCCAAGACAAAATTTAAGACCTGTGATTACGTCACGTGACCCTTTTGATTCCACAATGGCTTCACAGCTGATTTGGATTGAATTTGATGTAAATGGCTCATTTTCTGTTGTTGTTGGCCAGGAAAATAAATTAAGAATGTATTTTAAGGTAACACATAAATGATGCAAATACACAAGCGTTACACTTGCAAGGTCATTCATTTAATTAGTAACAGTCAAACCATGTACACCATGACATCATTCCACAGGACACTTATCAATGAAGACAAAAAAAAAAGTTTTACCAGTTTTATGTTTTACTGCAATGTTTAAGTAACATAAAATCATGATTAAATAAAACAATCTAAAGTCCCCTGAGAATTAACTCATACTCTTCATTTATGTTATTAAACTTCTTGAAGGGAGGAAATTTCCAGTGGATTTATAGAATAAATAAATTATCATGAACACAACACGAACTCTATGGAGCAGTGGTGGACATACTAAACACAAAGAACCACATCAGGTATCACAGATTTGTCGCTGGAAGTCACAGTTGTGAAAAATTCAAATTCAATGTACAGTGTAGAGATGAGCTTTTCTTCCATCGTCCGGTCCAGAAGACGCAGCGGCTACAAAACAGAAATGCTACGTGTAAAACAGGAAGTGGGTAAGGGAATTTCAACCAAAATGATTCTTTACTCACATTCTTTTTTTTCTTCTTCAAGATTATCTCTTAATAACAAAAATACATGTTGATGGGGTTTGCTGTAGATAATATCTTCTACAGTAAACCACAGTGCCCGAAACAAAACCCTTCATTTAAGGAGAATTTTCCCACTGAGGACACAGAGTCCTTGTTGGGATAGAAGTTTGAAAAACCCAAAACAAAATAAGTGATTGTCCGTCAGGAAAACTCTGGCTCGTTCAGCTGATTTGGCTAGCTAAAGGGAGGGTTGGCACTGGCGCTAAATCTGATCCCTAAATCGGCTTCATTCAGGGGACGCGTGATGGTTTTGGGCTGTTTTTGCCTTTCATTAATCAGGATATTAGTTTTCTAAGCAGAAAAATTGGTTCACGAAAAGAAAACGTACAAAGACGCTCACTCATAACAGACAGGGTGACGGGGAGGGGGAGGCCTAGGAGTGTCCTGGCACTGGCACGTCCTGCTGTTGGTGACCAGGAGGCAGAGGTTGGGCATTTCCTGGTATGACTGGTGCCGGTTCCGCCTCAGCCATCGGGCCTCGGGGCTCTGCAACAGGAAGTGACATTTGTTCAGTCACAGAATTTAGTTTAAATTCTTGGAAACATGGACTTTGTGGCTTCTGGAAAGTGGTTTGTTTGATATAAAGGAGCCAACACGTAATCAAGCACTTTATCCTTGTTTTTAGAGGTGCACCGGTTGATTGGCCAGCCGATCGCTCCCGATTTTCTGAATTTTGGATGATTGGCCGATACTTAATCTGTGAAACTGATTAAGTTCTGATAATCTGCCAAGTTCTGATAATCAGCCACTGACCCCTTTTGCTCTGCTGTGAGAGAAGGCTGACTGACAGACCATCCTACCGGGTCACATCTGCACATCCACAGCTAACAATAGTCACCCCACTGTACCAATTTAGTGACTTCCTCTCTACATTTAGGGACTTCTTCTCAATAAAGTGACCTCAGTTATGGGAAAAAAATTGGTAGCTCAGGCTTTTTAAAGATTGGTGATGGGCCACAAAACTACAATCAGAGGACCCCCTTCTTGATTCGCTTGCTTTTTAGACTCAGAGTCACAATGAATAGTTTGTGTTCTAGCAGAGCAAGAACATCAAAGATACAGAGCTAGATCAACAGTAGCGTCTTAGACTGGACCTGTCAAAGTCCGATGGAAAATTTGATGAGTAAAAACTGCTCTTCATCAAATTTGAGCTACTGTGTGGCAAGAAACAAATTCTGACTGTTTCTTGCTAAATATTTCTAAATTTCTGATTCATACGAAACACAGACAAACACCACGAGAAACCGTAGACCTGCTTTAACTGAGTCAGTAGCTTTAGGAGTAAATGTTAAACTCTTTGGGATAAACTGACAGCAATTAAAACTATCTCACACTTACGTTTTGCTTCAGCTTTTAAACTCTGGGCTTTGATCTTTTCCATTTCTTCCATAGCCTGAGCAGAAGAACGAAGGAAACAAGCAGCATAGAAAGAAAATATATCATTAGAGAAACATTGATGGACAACTTGAATTAAACTCAGATTAATTTAATTTAATTAAAACTGTTGTTTTAATTACCTGCCCATCTCAGGTAAGATGTGAAAATCCTAAAATACCCTGATAATTCAGAGCTACTTCACAAAAAAACTTGTTTCCTGCTTTTCTTTTTTTTTCTTTTTTTGCAGACTCACAACAATAACTCACCTGTTTTAGCCCTGACTTCTGAGCATC